ACAATACATGGATTTTTATATCATGCTATGTAAAAATAAATAAAACTTATCCTTTAAATGAATTCTGTGATGAATTCTTTGGGAGGTTAATAATTACCTCTCAAATTGATCTATAAAAACCTGAGTTTGGGTTTGCCTTAAAAAGGCAAATGTATGGAAAATTTGAATTAAAACATCTTATTAAATTTTTTGTTTTCTTATTAGAAGTAGTATAGGGACTTGGAATTGGGGTATTGAAGTAATATGTTGACCTGGAAGGTACTGAAAACACTGTGCCGATCAGTGGCGTCAGGTTGGCCCAGCACGGAATTCAGTGTGGCCCCCATCTGGAGGCGACACTATCAGCTGAGTTCCCATGCAAAGGGAACAGCACTGGGGTTGGGGTGCTCTAGGGCTGCATTTCAGACTTGACCATAACTTATTCTAGATTTCGGATAAGCCACATACATGACGTCTCTGCATGGTGATTGTCTCATATAAAACAGAGGCCTTCAAACTTTTTTGATAGGACACTATTATCAGTTATAATATTTGAGCATAACTCTCCACATGACTTTTAAATTTACTTATAATTTACATACATGAATTACTGCAATTAGCAAATATCTCAAGGCACAGTATGCATAGTACTTAGGACCAGACTAGTATGGCATAGTGGTTCAAGAGCATGGACTCTGAGCTCAGTGATGGGTTTAGGTCCCAGCTGAGTGGTTATGTGACCCTTTCCACCTATTTCCACAGCAGTTAGATGGGGTGATAGTAGTCGCTTCCTCATAGGGTTGTGTGAGGGTGAAATAGTAATGTGTTAAATATGTATTTAGAATAGTGTCTAGAACATGGGAAGTGGTCTAAGTGTATATTGTTACTGTTGTTATCATTCATATTTCCACATTGCAAAGGTCTCTGTGATAGTTCCAGACATATATTTGACTTCTTGTCATATCTCATGAGACATTCCTGGTGTTTTCCCCCATTATGTGCTGAGGTGGAATAAAAGTTCCAAGAGTAAAAATGTCATTCTGCCATTTTCTTACTGTTCTATTGAGCTTGCATTTTCATCTTATTCAATCAGTAGTTTATTTGTAGGAGTCATAAAGCCATTTGTCCATTTGTGACTGTTCTTTAAAAAGTTAAAACTATATAATTTTTTCTTTTTAATTAAATTTATTGAGGTGATATTGGAAAATAAGTATACAGTTCTGTAACACATCATCTGTATATTGCGTTGTGTGTCCAGCACCCCGTGTCAAATTTTCTTCCATCACCATATATTTAACCTCCTTCCCCCTTTGCTACTCCTCACCCACCTTCCCTCTGGTAACCATTGTACTGTTGTCTGTGTCTATGCATTTTTGCTTGTTTTTCTTCTTTGTTCAGTTGTTGCTTTGTTTTATATCCCACATATGAGTGAAATCATCGTTTTGCTTAGCATGATGTTCTCAAGATCTATCCATGTTGTTGCAAATGGCGGTATATCATCTTTTCTTATGGCTGAGCAGTATCCCATTATATATATGGACCCCATCTTCTTTGTTCAGTCATCTATCAAAGGACACTTTGCTTCCGTTTCTTGGCCACTGTGAGTAACGCTACAGTAAGCACAGGGGTGCATATATCTTTGTGAATAAATGTTTTCAAGTTTTTTTTGGTAGATAGCCAGAGGAGGGATTGCTGGGTCATATGGTAACTATTCTAAATTATTTGAGGAGCCTCCATACTGTTTTCCATAGCGGCCCTACCAGTTTATATACCTACTAGCAGTGAATGAGGGTTTCCTTTTCTTCACATCCTCAACAACACTTGTTATTACTTGTAGTTTTCGTTTGTATTTCCCTAACAGCTAGTGAAGTTGAACATCTTTTCATATATCTGTTGGCCATTCTTATGTCTTCTTGGCAAAAGTATCTGTTCAGGGCCTCTGCCTCATTTTCAAATACCATCGCATCTTTGGTTGGTTGCCTCATTTTGGGGGGGTGGTGGTGGTGGTGGTTTGTTTTGCTGTGCAGAAGCTTTTTACTTTGATATAATTCCATTAATCTATTTTTGCCTCTACTTCCCTTGCCTTTCCGGTCAAGTTCATAAAATCTTCTCTAAGACCAAGGTCCATAAATTTTGTTCCTATGTTTTGTTTTATATAATTCATTGTTTCAGACTTTATATTAAGGTCTTTGATCCATTCTGAAATAATTTTTATACATGGGGACAAACTATAATCTAGTTTCATTCTTTTGCATGTGGCTTTCCAATTTTCCCAGCACCATTTATTGAAGAAATGTTCTCTTCTCCATTGCATGTTTTTGTCCCCTTTATCAAAAGTCACTTGCCCATATACGTGTGGGTTTACTTCTGGGCTCTTAATTCTATTCTGTTGGTCTGTGTGTCTGTTTTTCTGCCAAAACTGTCCCAGGTGGGCACAGGTAACCAGGTTCTTAGTGATGGGGACAAAGAATTGAACCAAACACCCAGAGTTCATAGAAGAGAACATGGGAGCAGGCCAACTCCAAGCAGAGATTGACCTCATGGGCTAGAGGGACTTTATTCTTATAGGGTGGATCCTTTATGGCTAGTTTTAGTGGGTTTTTACTGAGTATACACAAGTAGTTGCATTACTTTAAAGCTACTGAGCATGTGGTTTCCCATGATCCTCCCCGATTGGCCACCAGGGAAGAGGGTCCCACAATGCTACGGAATTAATCCCCGTTTCTCCTGGGGTCCCCCTATACTAGGTTCACCTTTCCCTAAGCCAGAGAATTATAGTTCTCCATGTAGAGATTGGTGAAAAAGAAAAGAGTTATTTATTCAAGTTATACAGACTAAAAGTAATGACTTAATGTCTTTGTCAAAATCCCAAAGTCCCTTGAAACACCCACAAACACACAGTCCTTCCTTCTCCCCTTTGCCCAGTCTGGGGTACCGTATCTCAGGAAAAAAATAGAAGTCCGTGGCTTAGGCAGCTCTTGGTTTTTCCTAGTAATTTGTGCTCAGCTGGCAGGCCTTCCTTAGTTCCCAGCACCATTGCCAGGATCTCCAGCTAAAGCCGCATGGCGATTCTTCTCATGGCTGGGGGTGGGGGGTGGTGATCCCCCTTTCTGGGAAAGCGACGGCGGCGGTGGCAGCAGCAGCGTGGAGAGGGCTAGTGCAGAACTCATTGTGTCCGGGCCCCAGGTCCAGGGAAGGTGGCTGCGAGGTTGGCCTGAGGTTCCGAGAGCCCGAGTGATGGAAGCGTGGGCGCAGGCCTAGCGTGCTGAGGCCTAGCGGTGGCTGCAGCGGCCGGGCAGTGACCTGGTGCTCCCGAGTCACTTACTGGTGGCCCCTTCTCGCGGCCGCGGCTGCAGAGCAGGCTGGGGCTCGGAGCCAGGCGGTAGAGGAGCCGCAGGGGGCTGGTTGCATCCAGGACGGTGTCTACGCAGCTGTGGGAGTCCCCACTCTGCTAAAGCCGCATGGTTCTCTCTCCTCAGTGGCTGCGGTCCTCCCTGCACTGCCACAGCTGTATGGTTCTCTCTCAATGGCTGCCACGTCTGGGTTTTAAATCCCCGCGGCCAATCTTCCTCTGCAGCCCCATTTCCGACTCCTTCCACACTCGGCCTCAAATGCCAGAACTCACATCCTTCCAGTTTTACTGGGCTGCCACCATGAGTCTGGGCAGGCGTGGCCCCATGTCATGGAGCCAGTCTTCTCTGAGCTCCCATGCAGGCACTGTAACTAGGGGGAGTTGCCTCCCAGTTACATCTTGGGGGGAAGTTCCTTCCATCCCCCTGGCTCAGAGCATGGCCACAGCTATTTTGCATATCTATGCAACCAGTTAAAGGTTATAGATATGTTAAATGACCACACCAGAGGGTGGCTGCAAGGCTGTTGCTATGCGAAACAGCTCTCAATGGCCCTGCTTCATTTGTCCCTTCCCCCAACCCACACCTGGTGGGTGGGGGTGAGGACATCTTAAAATCACCTGGACACCCTGAGTTTTGGACCCTATTCCAAATCCTTCTTTTGGGGACCCTTTGGCTGCACCCTCCTACAATACCACATAGCATAACTTGAAGTCAGGGAGTGTGATACCTTTGGCTGTGTTCTTTTTTCACAGGATTGCTTTGGCTGTTTGAGGTCTTTTGTGGTTCTAAATGAATCTGATTGTATTTTTGTTTTATTTTTAAAAGTAATTTTAGAATCCATAAATCCATTTAACTGGACACTTTGGAGACCACTGATTTAAAAGCCTGGGGTAGCTACTCATTTCCATGGTTATATCATTAAAGGTTTAAAAAAGCTACACAGATAGTGGAACTTTTAAAAATGTATTTGTGCTTTTGTAATTGTGACTGTAGGAGGTCGAGCAGCAGGGTGAGAAAGCTGGTCTCCCCAGATGCAGTTTGTATTTTGTGTTCTGTGAATTCATAGTACCGAATCTATATTCGATGTGCAAATACAAGTTAAAAAGGGAGGACATAGGTTTTTATTCTTTTTTAAAATAAACTCTTTGAAAGTGGGCCCATGCCTAACCTATGTGTATCCCTTCTGTGGCACAGCAATTATTCAATGAAAATTACAAAAATATGAATCGATTCTTATTGAAGATTTTACTTATAATTATGTATAGTTATATACTATGTACTTTTATAAAGTACCTATTTACATACACACAACTTTTTACCTTAAGAAATCACTATATAATTAGTAAATGCTTTATAAAGGCATCATTTTTTTTTTTTTTGGTAATAAACCTGACTTTTCCAGTCTGTCAACTTACCTGCTGAAACCAAAGATAGAATGGACATCGCTTGACATTGGCATGTAGTTGGTCTCGAATGTTCTGTTTATCCCCTTGAAGCGTCGACGTAAAATGTCTGTCATTTCTTCCTGAGGTTTTTAAAAATGGAATAATGAACTGAGAGCATAATAAAATATGCATGCTCTTAATATATAAATTATGACATTCTTTTTAGGAAGGTTAATGGTATTCATTTTGATCAAACTTTATAAAATACGTCTATTTTCTCTAGGTGGTTGGTTCTAGCTATTGCCATGGTACGTTTTTATATGGAAAAAGGAACACACAAAGGTTTATATAAAAGTATTCAGAAGACACTTAAATTTTTCCAGACATTTGCCTTGCTTGAGGTAAGTTTTTAATAATGCTATTTTTCTGTGATTATAATATTTATTCGAAAACATATTCGTTGAGCAAAAGCAATTTTACTGATTATATAACACCTACAGATTCATTTAAAACCAAAGTTATCGGGAATTTATTTTGTGTTGTATGCTACTGACTTGTGAATTTTGTTTTTATTTGCTTATAGGTAGTCCACTGTTTAATTGGTGAGTTTTTTATTTAAGTTTTATTTTTGGTATGAATTGTCTTGAAGACAGTGGTTGACTTGATTTTCTCATTCAGGAATTGTACCTACTTCTGTGATTGTGGCTGGGGTCCAAGTGAGTTCCAGAATCTTTATGGTGTGGCTCATTACTCACAGTATAAAACCAGTAAGTGGCATAAATGCGTCCTCTACTTGAGTCTGCAGGGAGAGCTTTTGTAGTAATAGGAATCTAAACTATTAGCACTGGAGCGTGTCAGGAAGTAGAACCAGCAGACAAAAAAGGGTTGGGTTTGGATTTAAGTGTGATTGTCCATTGGCTCAATGAATTAGCAGAACTTTGAAACACAAGCAAAACCAAATGTTGGCATTTTAAATTCATGGTATAGTGTCTTCTAGTGTTTTCCAATTTTAAAAATTAATATTCATATTCTCTATCAAATGGTTAATGGAAAATTTTATTTTCTACTGAAGTTATTAGTATTGTCTTTGTCTATATAATTGAAGTTGTCCGTGTAAGTTTATTTTTCCTCAATTAGCATTGAGTGTTGTAGCAACAGACATAAAATGGAAATGTAGCTCTGGAGAGCTAAACAAATGGCAAAGACTAAAAGTTGGAAGGGTTAAGGAACTTAGGGAAAAATAAGCACAATATTTGTTGAGGCGTGACAGGAGGCAGACCTGAATCTAGCTAATGGCTTAAACCCTTTTAGGCAAACAAACACATTCTTGCTATGTCAAGACATCAGGGCTTTTAAACCCATGACAGAAGCATTTCCCAGATGGGCCCTTCTGACCTTCTTGACAGCCTCTGGAGTCTCCTGTCTAGTTGAGGACAGATCTCTGGCCTCCTTTCCATTCCTCAGATGCCTTTCTCGTCTCTTCTGCTTGGGATGATACCTCCCTCCCACTGCCTGCAAGACTCACTGGCCTCCTGTCTTTGTGGGGACAGATCGCTGACCCTCTGCCCTTTTATTACTCTACAGTTCAGCTGTCTTGACTACTATCTTTCACTTGACTTGCTTAATCCATCTGGTCCCTAACCAAGGACTGCTACACAGATAGCAATCTGTGCATACCATGTGGGGAGACAGACTTTTAATTCAGATTGCCATGTAGTTTAAAAGCAGGAGTCCAACATTAACAGAATAAAATAAAGACTATTCTGAACAGTGAATGAGTATTATAGCTGGGCCAGGACCACAAAGAGTCTGAAGACTGAGGAAGAAGAAATAAAAGATAGGGTGGCTAACATTAACTGGAGAATATAATTTAAAAATGAGCTGTGATCTTATTTATATGTGGAATCTAATGAACAAAAATAAACTGACACACAACATAGAAACACAGGCATGGACACATGGAACAGACTGACAGCTGTCAGAGGAGAGGGGATGGGGGGACTGGATGAAAGAAGCTGAAGGGATTAGACAAAGAACGTGTATGCGTAGCCCTTAGGCACAGACAACAGTGTGGTGACGGCCGGAAGGAAGGGTGGTGCAGGGGCTGGGCAGAGGTAGGCAAAGTGGCAGGGTGGGGAATGGGGACATCTGCAATAGTGTCAACAATGAAAATAAAGTTAAAACATAAAAAGATAAAATAAAAACAATCTACAAGGTGACTAGCCCTCAAGTGAAAAAAGAGCCATCTGCTTGATTTTTTTATCCTCCAGAGGATCTCTGCCTTCATGTTATTACTTAATTTTATCCAACATTAGCTTCCACTGGCACCTTTTCACCACTCTTTAATTAATTCAACTGACATTTATTGAATGCATTCTATATACCTGGCCGTGTGTTAATTTGTGGATTTACAAAATGAATAAGGCAATCTGCTGACATGTGCCCTGGCTCTTGTAGACCCAGGAGGGGCAGCCATACAGACGTTGAGTCATTCAGCAAATACATTAGTATGCACCTGCTCTGAGCTTGGCCCCTTGCTGGGGATCTGGCTGTTAGTAATACAAATGTAGTTCCCACCTTGTAGAGCCTATAATTGGGAAAGATACTAAAGAAATTGTTGTACAAATAATTGTTTCATTATTTTAGTGTTAGTGCTTTGAAACAAGGGACCAGCAGGTACTACAGTGTACTTGGGGACTTAGCCTGAGCTAGGGAGTGAAGGAAGGCTCCCTGTATAAGCCAAGCATGGACAGGTATACAAGAGTCAGGCAGACCAATTTCAGTACACAATTGGAAAGTGTTGTAATACAGGTGTGAACAAAATACTGTGAGAACGAAGGTGAGCATAACTGCTCAGGGTGAGAGGAAGGGTTTGGAAAAGTTTTCCAAAGGATGTGATGTTTTTGCTGGAGATGAGAAAGGATTTTCTATGGAAGCAGCATTCAAATTAGAGGGAATAGCACAAATGTTCAGAACATATTTTGGAAATAATACAAAGGTTAGTGTCACCAGACAGAGGTATTGGGGATGCAGAGCAGGGGGTTGGGGTGGGGTGGGTCAAGTAACTGAAGGTGAAATTGGAGAGATTTTTAAGTTCAGATTATAAAGAACCTTGAACTTTCTGCTCAGGTGGTAGAGTTGTGTCCTTTCCTATTGTTAAGCAATGGGGCACCAATGAATATTTTTTAATTTTTATTTATTTTAATTTTTATATTTTATTGATTATGCTATTGCAGTTGTCCCAATTTCCCCCTTTGCTGCTCTCCACCCAGCATCCCCCAGTCCCTAAGGCAATCCCCACACCATTGTTCATGTCCACGGGTCAAGCATATAAGTTCTCTGGCAACTTTATTTCCAATAATTGCTCCTAATATCCCCATGCCTATTCTGTACCTACCGTTTGTACTTCTTAAGCCCTTCACCTCTTCCCCCATTCCTCCAGACCCCCATCCTCACTGGCCACCATCCCAATGTTTCCCATACCTATGATCCTGTTTCTGTTCTGCTTGTTTGCTTAGTTTGTTTTTTAGATTCAGTTGTTGATATTTATTTATTGCCAATTTAATGTTCATAGTTTTGGTCTTCTTCTTTTTCTTAAATAAGTGCCTTTAACATTTCATATAATAAAGGTTTGGTGATGATGAACTCCTTTAACTTTACCTTATCTGGGAAGTGTTTTATTTGCCCTTCTATTCTAAATGAGAGATTTGCTGGATAGAGTAATCTAGGTTACTTGTTTTTTATGACTTTGAATACTTCTTGCCAATCCCTTCCAGCCTGCAAAGTTTCATTTGAGAAATCAGCTGCTTTTAAGATTCCCTCTTCATGTTTAACCTTTGGCATTTTAATTATGATGTGTCTTGGTGTGGGCCTCTCTGCATCCATGTAGTTTGGGACTCTCTGGGCTTTCTGGTATTGAATGTCTGTTTCTTTCACTAAATTAGGGAAGTTTTCTTTTATTATTTTCTTCAAATAGGTTTCCAATTTCTTGCTCTTTCTCTTCTCTTTCTGGCACCCCTATGATGAGAACATTGGGATGCTTGAAGTTGTCCCAGAGGCTCCTTATACTATCCTCGATTTTTTTGGATTCTTTTTTCTTTTTGCTGTACTGATTGGATGGCCTTTTCTTCCTTATATTCCAAATCATTGATTTGATTCTCAGCTTCATCCACTTCATTGTTAATTTTATGTAAACTGTTCTTTATTTCAATTAGTATCTCCTTCATTTCTGACTTTTTATGCTGTTGAAGTGCTCACTTAGCTCCCTGAGCATCCATATAACCAGTGTTTTGAACTCTGCATCTGATAGATTGCTTACCTCCATTTTGTTTAGTTCTTTTTCTGGAGTTTTGATCTGTTCTTTCATTTGGGCCGTGTGTCTTTGTCTCCTCATGTTGGCAGCCTCCCTGTGTTTGTTTCTATGTATTAGATAGAGCTGTTTTGACTCCATGTCTTGGTAGTATGACCTAATGTACAGGTGTCCTGTAGGGTCCATTGGCACAGTCTCCCCTATCCCCTAAGCTGGGTACTCGAGGTGCACCCTTAGTGTGGGCTGAGTACACCCTCTTGTAGTTGAGTCTTGATTGCTGTCAGCAGGTCAATGGGAGAGATTTAACCAGGTCAGACAGCTGGTAGGACAGGCTGTGACCTCTGGCCCGCAACCACCTCCCTCTGTGGCATGTGGAGGTCATTGGGTGGTGGTGCACCGATGTGGTCTGTAACTGTCCACTGGGTGTGCAGGCTCTGGGGTTTCCCAGGAGGTGCAGGCCAAGGTCAGCCACCACCTTGTTCTGTATGGGCCCTTTGATATAAGCTATAAAGAGATCTGCAGATGGCTGCTGCTAGTACCAGGCCTCAGGCCACTCAATGAGAAGTATGGGGCTGGGCTCAGCTGTTGCTTATTTGAACAGATTTAGGAAGGTCTGAGCCTGCACGTAGCCCAGCCATTCCTATGGAAAAGCCACTGTTACCAGCTTGGATGGGTCTGTAAATTGGATGGGGTGGAGCCTTAGGTAACCATCAGGGTGGGGCTAAGTATGTGAGTTAGGCTGATGGAGAATCAGATATGGTGCTGCTGCACTGTGGCTCTGTGGGGGAGGGCTCAGAAAAGGAACAATGGCTGTTCTCTGTAGTTCTCTCTGGGAGGAAGCTGTCCCTCAGCTCTTGCCCTGATGCCAGACACTTTCCCGTATGGCACTGGTACCCTTCAAGGCACTGGCCCTGTGCTGGAGCCCAGAGGGAGTGAGTCTGAGTAAGTCCATGTGCGTGATCCTCCAAGAGGAGACGCCTGGGTTTCTTCCTGCTGACCCAACCCTTACTGGTTTTTATAGCCAGAAGTTATGGGGACTTCTCTTCCTGGCACTAGAACCCTGGGATGGATGGTCTGGTGTGGGCTGGGATCCCTTACTCCATAGATATCCCTCTGCTTTTTATCCACCACATGTGGGTTTGGGGCCAGCACCGTCTTTGCCCCTCCACCCCTCCTACCTATCTGGATGAATGTGATTTTTTGAATTCCTTAGTTGTAGGACTTTTGTACAGCTCTATTTTCTGATGATTCTTAATGATAGTTGTTCTGTTGTTTAGCTATAATTTTGATCTGGTTGTGCAAGGAGGCAAGCCACGTTTACCTACGCCTCCATCTTGACCCCCATTGAAGCTTTTACATCACAAGACTAGCTGCCTCCGGTTTTGTTTTTGTTTGCTTCTTTGTTTTGCTTTTAAGAGAACTTTTGTCCATGAAGTGAATAAATAGTGGAGATACTTTTTAGGAAGGTGTTACAATAATCTGTGTGAGAGATGAGAAGGCCCTGGATTAAATAGGTGGCAGCAGTGCCAAGGACAAGTGGGCAGATTCAATACTTAGTTCTATAGTAAAATGGCTCTGATTTGAGGACTGATAGAAAGTTGGAGGCTTAGCTGGTTCCGGTGCTCTTTTGAGGGGGTGATGCTGTCCTGGGATAGTTATTGGCTGCAGTGAAGGGTGAGAGAGAATCAGCAGAAACGTGACCATTCCTGTCCTAAGGACATATTTACGTTGTCTTTTTATAATGAATTATGTAGTGGTGACTGCATTACTTTTCTGTGTTATATCTGTTTAACCCTACCATTCCATTATATATAATGAAAGACACACAGTAAATAATTAAGATATAATATCTTCATGGAGAAAAAATTTCGAGCTTAAACGACACTGGATTTCTCTGTCATTCTGCAGATCCAGAATGAGGAGAGTGTGGTGCTTTTTCTGGCCGCGTGGACTGTGACAGAGATTACTCGCTATTCCTTCTACACATTCAGTCTTCTGAACCACTTGCCATACTTCATTAAATGGGCCAGGTGGCGATGCCTTGTAGTTTAGCTTCTCACAGTCCTATGCATGCGTATTTTGTTGCTGAGCTTACTCTAGAGAATTCAAGTTTGTGTTTCAGCCCTGTGATGCCAGATGCTGTTGTTTTGCATATTTAACAGTGTTATAAGTTGCATTCTAAAGGTTTAATTTAATGATGAGAGAGAAATCATATTAATATATATTTTCAGTGAAATCAACATAAGACAAATTATATTAGTTTCCTTAATCTCTAAATTGGTCATTCATTTTTCTATGAAAGCAACATACATATTTTTGCAATTATATTAAGTGTACTTTGTGCTAAAAATAGGGCATTTTGTCTGATTGATTTAAATTATTTTAATATTCAATCTAGTAGCCACAATTTTTAAATCTCTTATACATACAATGTCAAGTTTGTTTTAATTAGTGGAGACAGAAATTTTTAAAAATTCACACTTATTTGAAATTGTATTATTTGCAATGGGGACAAAATTTATATTTCAAAGGTTCTAAATATATCTATCCTAAAACAACAATTCTTAAAGCAAAAGATGTTTTGTTCTTTTCAAAGTTTGAATTCTTTGAGCAACTGATATTTTACAAAATTATTATAAAAACAAAACTGTTCTTTGGAGGACAAACCACAGACCAGCATAGATTTGTTCATTTTATTCCTTATATAGTACTTATAGTCGCAATAAAGCAATAACAATAACTTAATATGCTGTGCACCAACTGCATACCTGAGATGCAGGCATGAACAAAGAAAATCTCTGTTCTCTCAAGATGGAGAAGACAAAAAATAAAACCACTAACAGCCACGTGAAGTGCTGTGTGTCAAGAAGTTCAAGGAGATGCAGGGTGAGGGTGTCTATCTCACAGATATCTATCCCAGGTAGTAGGATAAAAGAGTTCCACGATATTTTCGTTTCTTTAGATTTTTTTTGTTAAACTACAGAAATAATATATTTTCCTTACAAAAAGCTCAAACAGTACAGAAGTTTGTAGAATAAACACAGAAAGTTTGTGCTTTTATCTGACCCACTTCTTTCCTGTTGGAGGGAAAATGTTTGGAGTTTAACCATTTGGACTTTTTCTTATTAACAAAAATGTGAACACGGTGTGAGTTTTTAAAAGCATAGATAGGATGACATTATATTTGCTTTTTGTTTCTATCTGGGAGCTTTTTTTTTTTTTTTTTTAAGTCACTACAGGTATATACAGATTTAGCTCATAGTGTGACTGACTGACTGACTGACCGACCCAGTTCTCTTATTGCTAGAATTTAAACCATTTTCAGTTTTCTGATATTATAAATATTGCCATATCCATATTTCTGTTCTTTTTAAAAACTCTGCTATTCCTATTAAGAAATTCCTAACTTGTTTGAAGGTAATCCATAACTAGTGTCTAATTTGTTTTTGACTCATATGAAAAGCCCACCATTTTTCTTCAGTGATTATTTCTTGTTTGTAACTCATGTATTGTGCATGTTCCAATGTAATAAGTGAGAATATGTGAATAAACCAGTAAACCTAAAAGAAGAAAAAGAAAACCTTTTACATTCTTTATACTCTCTCCCTGAGCAAGGATAATCACTGCTGTTACATAATTTTTTTAGACTCAACATATTTTCTAGTTCTTTTTTCAACATATTTGGCTTATCACTTTGTATGTAATAAAATGCTTGAAATTATGATTTGAGCTTAAACATATTGTCCATCTTAAGAAGGTTGCATTATCATTTATATGTGTGTGGTTGGCTTTATTCCTGATGCACCGAAAGCTTACTTTCAGATACCGGGCCTTTCATGAGGTCGGTGGTTTGGAAGGTGGCTGACCGCTAACCCTAGAAAGCTGTCAGTGTCGTTTTGCATGATCTGTCTTCTGGACATCTACACCTTTGAAAATACTAATTCATGATCATAGCCTTTTTTTTTATTTGCTGTATTTGTAACATTTGTGTGGAAGATAATTGTCTTTAATTCTGCCTTTTAGAATGCGTTTGCATGTCTTGAATTTCTGGAGTTCACAATGCTGCCACTCATTGCATGTTAAAATTTGCTCTTTAGAAATCCTTTGTCAATGACCTTAATGTTAAACAAGGTACTATAAAATTTTCAACTTTGAAATTCACATGTTAGCATAATACATCATGTCAGTTCATTATAATCATGAATAATTATATTTTATGTCAAAAATCATAAAGATCTCAATCACCTATATAAATTTGCCAACCCTCTTAAATAACCTAAAATTATATTTGTACTTATGTCCAGATGTTGAAGGTATTGTTCTCATATAAAGCTTTGCTTTAGAACTGCCTTTTTATTTATAACTAGTTGACCTACTGTGACAGTTTGAATGTAATTTAGTTCTATTTGTGTCACAAGTATCCCTAGAAAGTCCACCAAATGGATGATTGTATATTGTTTTGTTTTCATACTGATTTCCATTTGAGTTTCAAAAAGGCATTCCCTTCTAAAACTTTTAGATGACAATTAGGAATCTTCAAGGAACATTATATATTTTTTGAATGGTAGTTAAATCATGCTGCCATCAGAAGTTAAGAGAGTTGGTGACATGTAATCTTTTTAAAACGCAAATGAAGTCAAATAAATTATATAATTTATTCCCATTTCAGTAAAAATAATCACTCTTTAAGGCTTTAAACTAATTTATTCTAGGAGTGATCTTTTTTCTCTTAAAGAATAGTGCTACAAAAAATATCTGAGAGTCACATAAAGTTAAAAAAACTACTTAAATAAGTTTGAACGTTTTACTTGCAAAAGGAATGGATATTTAGCTACATGATTTTAAGTTGAGATAAGTAATTGATATTGCAAAAGATTGAGTTAATTGATACACAAATAACTACACAGTCTGGAAAGAAAGCAGCGATAGACTGAAGGAAAGGAAGAGTTACACAGGGCTGTAAAATGATCATTTTTCTTTCTTGACCAGTTAATCTATTTTGGCAAATAATTCTGTCCTTATCCACCATTTCTTATCTTTGTGTATCCTTGGCATGTAGAAATAAGGTGATTTTCAGGTTATCTCCAAGCTTCTATCATACTGACAAATTTGACTTCTCTTTACACATATTTCGTAATGTCAACAAAATGATCAAATAAAATATAGATCCTTTTTTTGTCCACCAAAATTTTAACCTTAATTTTCTGCTGTATGGTAACTGACTTGGAGAAGAATGATTTTCTTTAATGGAAAATGTCATTGCTTTGTGTCCTTGAGGCACCTGGAGTGGGGCCCCGGTACACACCTGAGACTGTCCTCTGACTGGCTTAGGTGATATGCAGCCTGCTCAGGTCGGAGAACTGGCCACAGTCTAAGTGAACTAATTGTGATTTTCAGATTTTTGAATAGAATTTTCACAGCCCTATTTTAAGCAAGCTAAACTATCATTTAATGGGGAAATTCAGGAAACAACTTGTCTTACTTGTTTTGTTGTGAAAGTAGTTTTAGACAATGTATTCTTCAGCAGTTATTAATACTTTTAGGTAGTATTATCAGTTTTCTGGAATGTTAATTCCATTTTAATTAGTAGCCACAAAGAGTTTTCTAAATTTCTCCCAAAGAAATACTTTGGTAATTTCAAGGTTTAGATGTAAAGTAGGATCATAACCAGTCTTTTAAAGAACAGCATTGAACAATAAATGTGTAGCTGCAGTGGGGAAAAAATCAGTCAGAGAAGTTACCTTTACAATACTTACATATGCTTTATAATACATACATACTGTGAAATACTTAAAAAACTGCATGTACATTAAAATGGTATATAGTTATTTTAGTACTTTAAAGTAAGTTGACTTCTTATTTTAGTACAATTTTCTCATTTAAAGTTGAAAGTTCTGTGAGAAAAAGGATGATAATTAAGTTAATAAGCAAATGATTAGAGTAGAAAAAATCTTTTTTGTGAGGTTATTGTAAATATGTATATGAAGGAGAATTTGTAAGTTCAAGCATACATAGTAGTAGCAAAAGAGCCATTATATACAATGCAATACTTAATCTAGAAAATAATTCTCTAAGGTTTTTCTTTTTGCAGATACAATTTTTTTATCATCTTATATCCTGTTGGAGTTGCTGGTGAACTTCTCACAATATATGCTGCCTTACCATATGTGAAGAAAACCGGAATGTTTTCAATAAGACTTCCTAATAAATACAATGTCTCTTTTGACTACTATTATTTTCTTCTTATAATCATGGCTTCATATATACCATGTAAGTATGTATTTATTAGTACTTTGATTTAGCATATGCTATGAAAGGTTTTGGAAAGATATAATTGCTAGCTTAATAGGCAAGGAGAAAGAACAGTTTGCAAATACATCAAAACCTCTATTCAATCCCACATATTTTCATTAATTTGGAATAAATGAAGAGCTAGTGAGTCAAAAAAGACTTTTTCTAGTTATGAGGTGAAAGGTAAGTAAATACACAAATGATTGCCTTCTCAATAAGCTTACTATGATACATTCTTAAAGAAAAGATAGAGCATGCAACGTTGAACTATTGGTAAGCATTTAGAATTACAGATCTTAATAGGAATATTTTATTCAGGAAAATTTCAGGTCATTTTCATCTATTCATTAAGCACATACTTGGAAGAATCATCTAGGAGTACTTTTTAGTCTTGTGTGCACTGGAAAATAATGAAGCTACTTTTCTTAAAATATATTGAATGATTCAGCCTCTTTACTAATTTTTCATCACCCTTCAGTAGATGCAATAAATTAGTGAGGCTTTACTCACTTCATATAAGTACTAACAGTGGTATATGTTTAGGTCAGATTTTGGTAGTCACTAACGGAATAATGTAAAACAAGGTGGTTAGTTACCCTCTCATTAAAATTAGAAACTAATGTCAATGGGGGAAAAGAAAAGGAAATAAGAAAAGTTGATGAAATCTAAAATCTACATTGCCACAATATAAAATATTTAATCTAAAGGGAATGAGCGTAAAACTTGGCCAGCACCTGGAGGCCCCCAATTTTTAAGCTTTTCAAGATAAAAATTGACTTGATGGTCAGGTAATGTTTTTAATCCCCTCCCCTTGTAGTATTTCAGCCTGACTCTCTTTACAGTTCCACCAGAGTCAGTTCAGAAGGGTAAGGGATGGGGCACCTGTAACATTTGTTTATACCCACCCACCTACCCCCTGGCTTCTCAACACCCAGTATTTGGCAACACCCCTTGAGCAGAGCCACACCTGGCTTCAGTGTCTGCCATACATAGCTGCAGGTTCAGGTGTTGGGTTCTCCTCTTCCTCATGACCACTGATACATCTGCACAAAAACCCAGGACCCAGGGGATTACGGTGTGAAACCAGCCAACTAGTGACTTTTGACTGCATGTTTTCAGGTGTTCTGGGAGACTTAGACTCTGTCCTCTGCCAGTAGCAGCTTCTCAGTTCATCAAGCTGACGTTTACCTGAGAGGCCCAGTTGCTAGAAGATCAGTCAGCTGGGGGGATGTTTTTGACTTGATTATTAATATTAGCAATAATAACTAATTTTGCTTTGCTTACTAAATTCTTTCCTAAGTGAAAGTACTTTTTGAATACTTATTTTAATACTGTTAATTCCCATTTATCATGAGGACTTTACAGATTAGAGAGGTTAAATAGATGGATTAAAAGTCACCCAGCTATTAAATAAGGCCAGAATTTGAACTCAAGCTGATACTTTTACTAAACTGTTCAGAAGGTTAGAGAAGCATTTGCAATCATAGGTCAGTTAGCTTTAAGTATGTATGACCTGAATATATTTAGTCTCCTAGGTATAATATGATCATTACATTTATCAAGGTGAATAGTAACTAAACTTGAAAAAGTAAAATCTGTTGTGCATTTTTTCTCCATTTTTTCTCCAAGTTCTATATAGATGCAAGATAAAAGAGATTAAGTAAAAACTATCTAGTCTTGCAAAAAATAAATAAAATAAAATAAGTAAAATAAAAATAGTTATCTGAAGTTGCCTAAGCAAGATAGTCAAGGCTTATTTGTCATTAAAGTCACTGATTTGGCTGTTCTATTTATCACTTCCAGAGATGCTTTTACATTTGTATTGTTGATAGTTGATGTGAATTTGTTCATCCACTAACATTTATACTGTAATTTAAAGCACTAATTCAAATAGACTCAGAATAATTCTCCAAAATTGGATAGGGCAGGTGACTGTGTGTCTAACTGGTCTGATACATGTACATCTGTGTGTTTGACAGACTGCCCTTACCCAACCAAGAGGGCCTTCTGCTCCAGCCTCTATTCTGACCCTCTTCTGGTCATTCTCCACACAGGCCCTGCGCCTTCTAGATCACACTCTGGGAACCAGGGACCGTGGGACATGCCACCCATGTGGCACTGAGTGTACATCTAGATACTGCTCAGGCTTCTTCCCCAATCTGCTCTCTTGAGGGTTAACTGTGTCAGCAATACACACAGCCCTGAAATCAAGGGGTGGCTAGGGCAGCTGTTTGGGAGGGGTGTGTGTTGTGTGGGCTTGCATCTCCACGCATACATTCACAAGACTCCCCATGGTCCAGGCCAGCTAATAGGCTGGAGAAAAGGGGACCAGGTGGGCAGCTTCCCTTATGCTGGAATTTTCTGGCACCGTACTCCAAATTGTTACAGGATTCTAAATTCAAAAATGGTCTCTCAGGTTATTAGGAAGGTATATTTATCAAGGTATTTAAATTTGCTAAAATCCCGCACAGCAGATGGTATTATGTGGACCTCCATTTGTATTCTTACCTGAGCTCTGTAAATATTACGGGGTAGCAGTGGTGTCTGATGCACTTGCTCTGAAACTTTGCTGCCTTTAAGATGTTTCAACTACAACTAATTTCCAACAATAGCTTATCTTTCTTTGTTTTCTTTTTCCAATTAAGTGTTTCCACAACTCTATTTTCACATGTTACGTCAAAGAAGAAAGGTGCTTCATGGAGAGGTGACTATAGAAAAGGATGATTGAACGACCTCTACAAACACGGTGCTTTTTCCACAACAACCAGGATCACTTGAGTCCAAGTTTTAATAACAAGAATAAACAACTTCATGAAATGTTACAGATTGTGTTATTTCTTCAAATACAACTTGAGACATGTGGTATTTGTCAGTATTTGTCTTCACATTGTGCCAGGTCCATTTTCTATAAGAACTATACAAATGTTTATCAACTTTTGGGTAGGTGATGATCATTAAGAAATGATTGGTATTTTATAGCACCTTAAAAAAACCTTTTGTTTTTTCTTTTTTAGTTTTATAATTTTTTGCTCCATATGCTCAAAGCTTTTTAAATCAATATTTAGAAATTAGTTTAGTGATTTAACATTATATGCCTGCTGTGATAATCTGTGATATTTATAAATGAAAGTAAATGCAGAATTATAATAACTTCTTAATAATGTATTAGTGTTTCATGAACCTAAGGTCTATTTTTTCAAGCTATAAGGGAGCATTTTGATTATTAACAATTTTTGGAAGTATGGATATAATTTGCTGTTGTGAGACTTTAGATGTAGATGTCACAGTTGGAAAATATACTTTGGAAATATGTCTAGGCCATTGAAATTACTTATACTACTAAGCAAATTTATCTTTATTTGAATTAGCCATTCAAGGATAACCTCTTCAAATCCAAGGGTTTTAAGGAATTAGAAACAACATAAGTATATACTTTGCCTCACTTGGTGAGGCAACCTGGTGACATTAGGTGTGTTTATAATGTTACACTCAGAACTCTGGCTGAGAAAGGTTGCTCTGTAGCATGGAATTACCTAGCGAAATCATGTTATGATAAATTTTTTTGTGCTGCTGAGATACAAGGAAGTTTTGGGCTATGGTCTGAAACCAGACTTCTTTTATGTGAATTTCACTGAAGAACAAAAGTCTTACAACAAAGCTCCTGTCTACATATTTAATAGAAAAATACACTGAAAGTATACTTTCATACTGTTTTAATTCTTAAGTAATCCCTTAAGAATTTTCCCCTTATATTAAGGTTTGCTTTTTACTGACCCAATTTAGAGAGAATACTAAATATGTGACTTAAAAAGAAAAGGAACTAGTACCTGCTCTAATATGTAGGTGTAATTGTGGCTTTATTTGCTCTACATTGTTTACATTTACATCAACATGTAACATTGCACTTCAAAATTTTGTCATCACCTCCTTTTCAAATGATTTCACATCATTTGTACTTCAGAATAGTTTTGCAAACTTTCATTTTACCTAAGTTGATTTTTAAAAGGTGCTACTTTTATTACATTTTAATGTTTCCTCTGCAGCTGAATGTTTTAATGAGCAGTATGCATTAGGTTACTAATTCTGAAAGTGCAGATGTATATTCTCTTCTTACATGGCTTGACCTGTTTTCATCTTGAATATGGAGGAAATTTTCAGGGAAATTTTATCTTTGCTAACATAGTATAAAATGTTCACATATTTATCTTGTTAGATACTGGCCTCAGAAATATATTTCAAATCCTTTTCCTGAAATTTGCATTAATTCAACTTGTACTTTCTTTAAGCAGCTCTACTAATACTCTCTCCCCTTGCCCTTAAGTTAGTTGTGTAATATCTTGAAGTAGGAATTGTGATTAACTTTAATGAAGCATGAAAATGCCCTCTGTACACTGGTGGTGGGGATGCAGACTGGTGCAGCCACTGTGGAAACAGTATGGGGTTGCCTTATGACCCAGTGATTCCACTTCTGGGAATATATCCAAAGAAACCAGAAATACTAATTCAAAAGAATTTATTCACCCCTGTGTTTATTGCCATGTTATTTGCGATAGCAGCCCAAGTGCCCATCAGTAAATGAGTGGATAAAAAAGCTGTGATATATTTACACAACAGAATACTAAAAAAGAAGGAAGTCTTACTTTTTGCAACATCATAGGTGGACCTGGAGAATATTATGCTAAGTGAAATAAGCCAGTTGAAGAAAGACAAATACCATATGATTTCACTTATAAGTGGAGTCTAATGAACAAAATAACAACAGAAAGAGACTCATAGATACAGAGAACAGACTGACAGCGGTCAGGAGGGAGGGGATTTGGGGAGCTGTGTGAAAAATGTAATGGCATTAAGCAAAAAAAATTCCTCAGACACAGACAACAGTATGGTGATTACCAGAGGGAAAGGTGGTGGGGAGGAAGAGGGTAAAGGGGGAGATAAATAGTGATTGATGAAAGGAGACTTGGGGTGGTGAAAACAATGTACAGATGATGTATTATAGATTTGTACACCTGAAACCTATATAATTTTATTAACCAATGTCACCCAATCAAGTCAATAAAAATAATTAAAAAAACTAAAAGTACAAACCCACTGAGATTGGAACAATGTCTCACACTAAGTCTGTATGCCCCACACTGCAATATGTGTAAAAGGTGTTCAATAAATTACAGAATGATGAAAAAAAGTGAAAATACATCGAATTATTCAGTGACTAATGAGGAGGATCCCCCAAAAAACAGAGTTACCTTTTGGAGGGTGGGCCCCTTGTCATACAGGCTTCCCCATACTAGGTAAGTGTTCTAGGAACCCATCTGTATCAGTGGACCAGCTGGTGTGAGGCTGTGTTCAGCTTTGGGGAATTTTTCTTTAAACTCTTAATGCATTTGCCCATTTCATGATGGGTGATCTGTGAGCACACCTGCCCACAGCACACTGAGTGTTCAGCAGTTTTTGACCAAAAACGGCATGACCTCTGTGTCCCACCCTCCCTATTCACCCTATCTTGCTTCAGATGACTTTTTTTTTGTTTCCCCAGATGAAAAAAAGTCCTTAAAGGGAAATGTTTTGGCAGAAGCACTAAAAGTCATCAAAATCAACGAGTTTAAGAGTTCAAACATTGTTTTGAGCAGTGCAAAAAATATCTTGATAGGTGTATCAGATAGAGAGTACTTTGAAGGTGACTGAAGTTTAAACATGTAAGAATAAATACACAATTTTTTATAAATAAATTCTGCATTTTGGGGTCGTCCGTACATTAAGATACTGAAAGAATGCATACATTTAGGTTTTGCTTATTTTCACTATCTTCCATTCAACTTATTTTTAAATCATTTTTTAAGGATCTTATTTATTTTTAGAGACAAGGGGAGTGGGGAGAAAGAGGAAGAGAAACATCAATGTAAGAGAAACTGATCGGTTGCCTTCTGCTTGCACCCCCACAGGGGTCTCAACCCGCAACCAAAGCATGTGTCCTGACCAGAGCAAATCCACCCCCTTTCACTTGTAGACAACCCCCAACCCACTGAGCCACAAGGGTCAGGGCCTACTGTGTGCCAATTACTGTTGCAGGGAAATGACTGTCTTGCTCCTATCACACTTCTCCCCAAACCTTTGACAATTACTAGGTTAAATTGGTTAGGAAATCCCATAGAAAAGTAATTATCTGGCTTTTACAAAATACAGTGCATTGGTAATCTGATGGTTGCAAAGTTCTTTGTTACTTATCTTGTATATGTATAAGTGTACCAGAGCACCACTAAATAGATAACATTCTGATTTCAAACTGCTTTCAAAGAAATGAAAATCAATTATTAATAGAAGACTGATAAATCATTAAGGCATCATTTAAATTATAAAAAGCAACATTTAAAATATTTTTCAAAAGCACAAAATGTAGATGTATTTTTTAACACATGTAGCTCTGAAATATACATATAACTGGTAAAAGTATGAGCAACACAGGTATGTAATTTCTACTTGAGCATTAAATGGAATTGAAAGTTCAGTTTGTTCATCTTTTTAGGCTAAATTTACATATCTTAAGTAGACATAACTAATTGTTCTAGATATGAAGCTTAAAAATATACAGGGTCCCACACAAATAATGCCCCCTTTTTATTACAAAGTCATAAGCATGTAATACTTCACTATAACAATATCACACTCAACCATACCACGTGACGTTTTAGGTGAAATGTTCAAATTAAAACTATATTACACCCATATTACTATACCAACCACACTCAAGCAGGTGTTACTTTTGGTAGACCCTGTATTCTAAAAAATTGAGATTTTTTTAGTGTTCTTGTTACAGCTTTCAACAATATTTTTATCACTTTTTTATTGGAAAGAATTCCAGACTTACAGGGAAGTTGCAAAAATGTATAAAGCCTTCATTTAAATTCCCCACTTGATAACATTCTTTTCTATTTGCTTCCTCTCCATATATATTTATAATATTTTGTGAATCATCGAGAGTTGAAAACATTAATCCCTAACTACTTATGTGTGTATTTCCTAAGAACAAGGAAATTCACAGACATAGCTACATTGCAGTGATCAAAATCAGGATATTAATGTTGATAGAATACCTTTATCTGAACCACAGACTTTATTCAAATCTCATTAGCCTGAGGTTCCGAACATGGCTATGTTCTGCATCCAGATCCAATCCAGGTTCAGGCATTATGTTTAGTCATCATCTCATTAGTCTGGCATGGTTCCTTGGTTTTTCTTCAGGTTTCGTGACTGACATTTTCAACAGGACAGGACAAGTGTTTTATAGAAAGTCCCTCAATTTGGGTTAGTTTGATGTTTCCTCATTATTAAATTTAATTCATTCCTGGGCAGAAATGTTGATTTGTTTCATGTACTGGTGATGCTAACTTCAATATTTTAGGGTTTGCTTTTTAATATTTTGGTTGCAGAGTAACACATAGGTATTTTGCTAACAGAACACCTTTGGTCTAAATCATTGGAGTTTAGCTTTGACATGAGGCATTGGGATTTTTTTTTTTACCCAAATATGCCTGTGCTTTGATACATGGAGATGAATGTCTTTTTATATGCTTAAAAAGTAGTAAAGTTTTTATACATGCCATTTTCAAGCATATTATTACTTCAGCTTTATATTGGCTTTTACACCCCTAAGCTGTAAAACTTTTGAGTAATTAATACACTTTGATGTTGCTTTAAAATTCCTAACTATAGCATTCTGTTCTACGTTATACACCTTTATGATGGTATTCCACTTTACTAAAATGATATATAATACAAGATTGAGATTGCTGTAAAAATACATTTTATTTTTTGATTTATGACA